ATAAAGACTGTCAAATTCATGTGACCTGTCCAAGGGCTGTACCACCTTTCTGGGAAATCCAGACAGAATAATGAATCCATACTAGGACTCCAGCCAAGAGCCTATGTGTGTTGAGGACTTCCCAATGACCCATTGGTCCAGTACCTGGTGGATCAAGGCTATGAGCAAAGCACTTCTCTCACAAAGCAGGATAGCAATGGGCAGGCCCAGTAAAACCAGTGGGAAGACCTGGCTGGTCCCTCATTCCCACAGGAGGATATCCTTTAGTGGTTGCTCTTAGCTTGCTGTTGCCCAACACAGCTGGACCCCCATCACTTTTCTCCATGAGATACTCAACTGCTTACACTCTGGTGAGGTGCTAGTGCCCCTAACCCTCCTGCCCCAAATGAATTCAAAGTGGCTCCAACGTTGATAGAAGAACCCAACAATGTAGCTACCCCCAGATCCTCTGGGAATTGCCTGCCTTTCATGGCAGGGATGATCCTACCTCCTTGTGCAGTCCCAAGACTTGCACCAGAGCAGAGCAGCTCCTCAGGGTGGCCAGATCTGGCCTGCCTCGAGCCTTTGCTGGGCTTTTTTTTTTTTTAAATGTACAGCCTGTGCTCTCTGTAGGTTCTCTCTCTAGGTCCCTGGTAGCTCCAGAGTTTGAAATCTCATGCATGTGGGTCTCTTAAGACGTAACCTGGAGGTCCGTGGTCATCTCTGCTGCCTTTCTGCTTATCCCTTGAGTTACCACTTTACTCTAGGGCTCCTCCCCTGTGTCCACTGCAGATTACATGGTACCTCCAGAGAGGTGGGGCAGGCTTAACAGCCCCCAAAGAAGCAGCAGGGTGCTGGCTGCAGAGCAGATATGAGAAGGCTCTGATACTGGAGAGTGGGCCAGGAGCATGGAGGGCATAGAGAGATGTAAGGCTTCCAAGTCATTCACAGGGGAGTTTCTTGTAGCTCAGTTGCAAGTGAAGGCAAGGCATCCCATGCTGGTGAGGGTGTCCATGTTTCAGCACTTTGTGATGCTGCATGGCCCTGAGGTCACCCTGACTCATGAAGACATCGTGAAAACTGTATCTTGCAGGATGCTCTACCGTGCGAAGACAGTGCTTGGTGGGAGAGGAAAACATCACACCTCAAATACTGTCTATATTTTGGGCTTCTCGCTACAGGAAAGACATTGAGGTGCTGGAGAACATCCAAAGAAGGGCAATGAAGCTGGTGAAGGGTCTGGAGGGTGTTATGAGGAGCAACTGAGGGAGATGGGGTTGTTTAGCCTGGAGAAAAGGAGGCTGAGGGGAGAACTGATTGCTCTCTACAACTACCTGAAAGGAGGTTGTAGTGATGTGGGAGTCAGGGTCTTCTCCCAAGGAATAAGTGATAGGATGAGAAGAAATGGCCTCAAGTTGCACCAGGGGAGGTTTAGCTTGGATATTAGGAAAAATGCATTCACTGAAAGGGTTGTTCAAGCATTGGGATAGGCTTGCCAGGGAAGTGGTTGAGTCACCATCCCTGGAGGTATTTAAAACGTGTGTTGACATGGTGCTTAGGGACATGGTTTAGTGGTGGACCTGGTAGTGTTAGGTTCATGGTTGCACTTAATGATCTTAAAAGTCTTTCCCAGCCTAAAAATTCTATGATTCTATATGCCTGGCCTTAGGGGGACATCACATCTGGAAGTACTCTTACAAAGAGCTTGACAAATTCTGGGCTGCTTGCAGGTGATATGAAACATAGAAGAAAGGGTGGAAATCCCTGGGTGTTTCAGTGCTCCATGGGAACTGGGTGCATGCTCAGGCTGTGGCTAACTCAGCTTCTCACACCCTCCATCTACTCAGTCACTCCAAAGCCTGGTGAGGTCTGATAAATGACTTTTGACTCAGCAAAACGTTGCCATAAGACACTGCAGAGCTGGCACTGTGAATGTTTCTCCATTCCAGCCATCTTCTAGCTGGGTGAGAACCAATAGATTTGTAAAGAACATTTGTAAAAGAAAGAGTCACAGACACAGCAACACCAGGCTTTGCATCTATGCATAAGTCAAAGCTCTTTACAAGTGTCAGTGGTATCTCTGTTTACCCCTATCTGGCATTGCTACTGCAAGGCAATATCCAGAGACCAGCGTATCCCTCCCTGCAGTCATGGATGCAGCCCTGAATCCAAGGTTATCTGGTGGATCAACATGGGCAGCTGCGGAAGCTACGCTGCTGTCACCCTAGCAGAGTGTCAGGGCACTTCTTCCAGTTTTATCTTGCGTGACAATTTTCAGGCTTGTCCTTCATACTCTGACTTGAGGCTGGTTTGGGGGCAACTTGCCTGGTTGCAACATGCTTCTCTGGGAACAGGACTACCAGTAGCTCTGTGTGACGAACTGTGGTGCCTTCCTCCCCCTACCTTGACTGAAGCTTGAAAAGTTGGATAAATTCAATGGCAAAAAAAAAAAATTGCAAAAGTCAAATCTGTGTGCATACCCCCTGCTAGACCAGTGCATTGCAGGCTTCTCACTGTCCAGCAGCTGCCTCCTGAGTCTCACCTGACCTTGCCAGACACAGATCTGCCAGGCTTCAGAGTCAGGCTGTCTGTGCCAGGCTGGATCCAGCCATTCTGCACTGGCCCCTGAGTTCTGTGGTGGTGTTAATTCACTCTCTTCTCCTCCCCTCAGTCTGCCACTTGCTCTTGAGCCATGTGAAATGAACAGGCAAATCTGCCAGTCCTCAGGGAGGATGTGTATCTCTGAATTCGCTGACTGTAGAGTCAACGCTGACTCTGTCCTGAGGCTCCCCACACTGACTTTGCAGGTCTGGCCCGCAAGTGTGTGTTTTAGCTCTGCAGTTTCTGAATAAACACTCCACGTTGTGCTGGAGGCATGTGGTTTCCCTCTTCAGAAGAGCCCCTGAATTGTCTGTTGTTTTTTCATAGCCTCTGCAAATAAACAGACATGGCTCGCAGGGGATACACAGTGATGGGCTGCAGCCATTCTGCCTGCATGGCTCGAGCCATCGCGTGGCGTTGAAATGCCTGTGCCCCTCACCCTGGGGAGAGAACGAGTCCCAGTTATGCACCATGCTATGCTGGGCATAACCCTACCCTCAAGCCCTGCCAGAGAGCTGGGACAATGCTGCCCAAATACGTCCTGCCTGCAGCTGGGTCAGCAACGGCAGGAGCAGAAAACCCCAGGGGGGAGATGAGGAATGCATTTCTGTTATTCACCATGGAAGTGTTCTGGGGGAGATAACCCAAAAAACGATGCAGAGGAGAGACCATCTGAAGGTCTGGACAGAAGGACTGGCAATGCAGAGAGCAACATGCAGCCAGACCACTTCTCCCTCACTACCTGAGGACTGGAAAGGGGCAAACAGGCTTGCAGAGCCCCAGGACAAATGGACAGATGGTGTAATAGCAGCAGCTGTGGACAGCTGTGTCTCTTCCTCTGCAGAAGTGGAAAAGGTCCAGGGAAGGAAAACAGGGACAATCAAAGCTCTGGACAACTCTGAGCAATTAGCCAGGCTCGGACTTTTCAGCCTGGGGAAGAGCTTTTAATGAGAGTAAAGCTTTTAATGACAGCAGCCACCTCTGGGACAGAAAACAGCAGATGCCAGCCAGATGGATCTCCCATCTGACCAAGCATGGCTGTTTTATGCTCCTCAATACTATTTCCAGCTGCCGCATTAAATCTATCAGCAATGGGGTTTTTGTGCATTATGGTGCTGTGGTGTCCCACCTGGTGATTCCACGAAGGCGCAGAACTGGAAGACGTGTGTGGGGATTGATAACATGACCAGCTGGCCAAGCACAGGAGCCATGACACTGGCACAGCTCCCAGACTCACAAGGTGGGCACTGACTTCAGGGAGCTTGCTTGATCATATGAGGCACACCGGACACATACCCAGATGCCTTCAGATGAGTAGTGTGAGCACAGTAGCAAGTCAGAGGAGTGTGATCCCCTGTGGGTGAGCACAGACCTGTCCTTGGAGGGTTTCAATTCACACTGAAGCACTTTTCGAAGCTGATCAGAAGTCTCAACCAGTCATTCTGTAGAAATACAACATCTGGTGCAGGACTGAACTGAATTCAGGAGGCAAGCCCTGGATTAGCCAGTGCCCACTGATCTCTGCCACTGAGAGCAAAGGGACCCCCTTGGATACCGAAGCTGTACAACCTCGTTACAGGTATTTCATGAAAGGTGAGTTGTGTCCCATCTGGTAGAAGTGGGAGACGGAAGAGCAGAGGGACCCCCAAGGACTTGATGCACACTTACACTGTTACCTTGGTTGGACTGTGCCCTGCCACAGTCCCAAAGATGACCCTGACACCAGGAGCAACTTAGACCTGAAATTTGGCAACTGGCTGGGAACCTGCAGTTCCCAGAGAGCATTTCTGGGTAATTAGTTCAGTTTGGAAGTTGCTCTCAAGTGCTGGAGCAGTGATCCAAGGTTCTTTGCATTCAGAGTCGCTACTCGGGCTCTTTCCATGCTCCCGTGTGCTATCTGGTCTGATTCCTGTTGTGGAATGCTTTTGGATAAAAAGTGGAATAACATCCAATATGAGAAGTGCAGATGTTACTATTTTCAAATTATATCAGCTCTGGAAGTGGTGGTGTTTATTATGGAGCCAGGGACTTGTCTTCTCCCATGCTGAAGAAACTTTATTTTCTGTTTTCTAAATTACCTCCTACAGAAAAAAAACTGCCCTTGTTCAGCACCCTCTTCACCAGGATCTGTTTGTTCCTTGCTACTCCCACATGGCCTTTCTCACAGGAATGTGGGTGAAATAACATTCACAGTGCAGAGCCCTGGTTTGTGATGTGGATATGAAATTAATGTTTTGACTGTACGCTTTTGGTAGCTCTTTGTGCTGTTTTCCCTCAGCCTTGCATAAAAAAGTGCTGTTGAAATAAGATTGTGCATGTCATTTTATTATTCACCATTGCTAACTTAAATGTGCAATCAGCACAGAGCACACAGGATCAATTAATCACCTGTTTCTAAGCTCAGGAAAGCACCAGAAAGCTCAGATATCTTGACACTGCCCATCTTTCAAAATCCAAATGTCTTGCCTGGTTTTCCTAGAATAACATAGGAAAAAAGAGTAAGAGCTCAAAAAAATACTCCTCGAGTCATACTTTGGCTCCCATCCAGCCCACGTAACAGAGCTGACTATTATAAAATTGGCTTGCTCATTTTCCTGTCTAAAAAGCTGAGGTGACTGCCAGCCATGCTGGCCCACAGATGTCCCCTCCCTGGGCATGCAGCACTGGTGGTGGGTCTCCAGCCCAACCTGCTCACAGCAGGGCTGTCCCCAGTGTGAAGTTATGGTGGCTACGGCTCTGTCTGAGCCCTAACCACCACCGCTCCAAGGATGGAGACCCTCCCTACCTCCGTGGTGCACCACCCTCCTGGGGAAGAGGTTTCCCCTGTGTCCAAACTGTACCCTCTGGGTCTGCTGCCCCATGTTGCATTACCTGCTACCACCAAGAGGACTTGGTGACTCCATCCCATTTGCAACTGCAGGCTGCTGCTATATCCCCCTAAGACTCCCCTTCCCCAGACTAGCTGGATGCAGCTCCTCCACACCTCCTTGCAGCTTCCCTTGACAACCTGGTTGTCCTGCTCCTGCAGCCCAGCACACAGTTTGTGTTATTTGCTGTACAAGTGCACTGCGGACCTGTATTCAACCCGATCTTCACTCTCAGTCCCTTTCTAGCAGGAACCCCCGCTCACAGTCACTTCCCAACCTTCATAAAATCACTGCCTCAAAGAAATGCTTGTGCTTCTCGTGAAGTCACTGTTGCCCTAGTCCTCAAGTTTGTGGTGGTACCTTTGGTTTGAAGTTCTGCCAAAAGAGCCATGAGACACATAACTGGGCATCTTCATTCACAGAGGTCCCTTTGAAGGACTTAATGGTGCTATTTGACTGTCCAGACTAGACACCCAGTTGACCTTTTTGCCCATCTAAGTTCATCAATCCCTTCTCTAATTGCAGGCAGCAAAGATGGTGGGAGCTTCTCACATACTCTACAGAGCATCTGGTTTGTTGCCAGCTTGCAGGCACTCATGTTGGAGGGTCTCCTGGCCATGGACTCCTGACCTCACCTTTTGGATTGGCTGATCATATAGCCACAGGGTGGTCTGATTTAGCAAGCTGATCCAATAGTTGAATATTGAGCTCTTCTGTGGGATTAGCGTTCTGCCAACACAATGAGCTAAATCCCTCAGCCTGCAGTAGCACAGTAGTCACTAAACGTGGTGCCAAGGATGGGGCAGAAACTTGCAAGCAAGGGCTGGGGGCATGCCTGCACCTATCTGTGGGCACTGCCAGTGCAGGAGGATGAAGTTCACAGGCTTCACAACCCAGCGCCTGGCTCAGCTGACATGAAAAAGTCCTTTTCCACTTCACTAGCAGGAACAGATGTGCTTCCTGTCTGCCATGGCGTTCCCCAGGCACGGGGGAGCCTAAATGAGAGTATTTCACAAGTTTCAGACAGCCAAAATTAGACCCCTGGAGGTCTCTGCCAAGGGCATGAGCTTACATTTGCTGCACACAGAGCTGGCATTCATTGGCGTAGGTGTTCCCATCGGTCCCACAGACAGGTAAATGCAGGAGAGGGCAGGCCTGCAGCTCAACCGTGTCTCCACACACTGGCTGGAAAGGAGAAACCATAGCACACATTTCAGTGCCAGCAGCACCCATCTTTTCCTCCCACAGCACCTGGGCGGTAGCAAGTGCCACTGGCAACCTGGTTTCCTCTGCCCTGGAGAGGGCAGGGCGTGCACATAGAGTGGGAAAGCAGGGAGCAGAGTCCACCGCATCCCTCAGTGGGACTCACAATCTGGGCTTTGATGCTGAAGCACCAGTACCCATGAGGCTGGGATGATTGCTGGGAACAGCCTTTCTCCCAGGCACACCAGACACTAAATCCTATCTCAAGCCATGAGCAAGGAAAACCAGAAACATCTTACCCTTCTGAAGCCATTCCCTTCGTTCAGCTCTGCCCCTGAAACAGAGCAGAGACCTGTGAGCATTGCAGACCTGTGACTGGTGACAGGAGCACGAGGCATCGACAGAGGGTCACGTCCAAACCAAAGGGAAGGCAGGGTTGTGCAGGGCCCACTCAGGACCTGGATCAGCTGTATGGGTTTTGTGAGGTGGGATCAGTTTGCTGCATGCCACCTGTCTCCACCCTCTCAGCAACACAGTGCACAGCCTCTATCTGCTGCTGAGCTGGCTGGGACAAAGCTGGGAATGCCTGTTCCCACCTCCTAATCCCTCTTCTGTCAGCCCTCTCTCTCAGTCTCTGAACCAGGAGCTCCACAGAGCATCCAACATGTCCCAGGAAATGTGAACCCATGCAGTGCTGCATGGTGATGTGGGGTATCTTCAGAGGGCTGAGGCTGGGTGACATTGCGCAGCCAGACAACAGCCATCCATAGGGAGAGCTGCATTCAGTGGATTCCTTTTCTGCAGTCAGGCAGAGCAGTAGCAACAGTTCACAGCCTGTCTGTGCAGTGCATGAATGTCCTGGGAGCATGAGGGCTCACACATAGGCTGCTGCAGGACCATCACTACATGTACCTAGGTAACATCCGTTTTCCAGAGCCTGCAATGAATGAATATGCTGAGCACACAGTGCTCTTGCAAAGATTTGCAGATCTTCATGGAGGCAGGAACAGCAGTAGCTGCCACCCCAGCGTACATGCTGTCCTTCCAGATCCTGGTTCCTGTTCACATTGTGGGCTGTCCCCTATCCCGTCTCTCTCCCGAGAGCAGTACCGTCGTTGACCAGCCCATAACCCTTGCCCCAAACTGCTAATAAGGCACAGTGTGTTTGTTCCAGCCCTTCTAC